CGACGCGAACGCGCAGGACGCTCGCTCTTCCGCCCGGGTTCTGTTCTCGGTCGTGGGGTGGTTTTTCAATTTGCCACTTCTTTCGCACCATTGTCCGTGCAATCCCGCACTCGTTCCGCGCTTTCGCCCGAGCCCGATATCGAAGTTTCGGCAATTGATTTCTCCGAGCTTCTCGCCAAGCTTTTGGCGTCGGGGAATGTGAATAATAACGCTCTCACGCACCCGAATTTATATTCTGTTGCGAATTGGAGATACGCCTTTGCTGATGATATCGAGGTAGTCTCTGCATAGAATACACAATATCTTCGCGGTGAAGAAACTTATTACTCGGTTACTAATACTACCTCAATTACTCAAGTGCATTTTCGGATGTATCTCTGGGATTCAAGTTATGCAGAAATGTCTTGAGAAGATTCATTAATTTGATTCCTCTCCGAAATTTATATGCAATTTTCAAAATTTTCGAATCAGAGATACGTCTTTGCTGATGATATTGAAATAGTCTGTACGTATTACCGCATAGAAAATTTCTTGGAGTCTAATTGGACCCAGCCTAATTTTCTAAAATAATTATAGGTTCTGGATATAAAAGTTCAATATTTCAAACGTGTGATTTTAAACTCCAAGGTTTTTCCAATATTCTTTTATAGTTTTCTACGTTAATTCATTAAACACTTCAGAAATGCTAAATTTCCTTATAAGTTCTTCAGTAGAATCTCTAGAGTGGTGTGGGAATCCACCATTAACCATTTTGATATTCTTAAAATAAGGCACAAGATGCAGGTATCTGATAAAACTTGAAATTCTTTGAATAAGAAAATTGAGTATCCTTTTTAGTTTTTGTATCATATTAATTTCAGATTTAACATTTCTTGTGTGTTCTATTTTGAAATGTTCCTTCTTGGAACATTTCAAAAGTCTTTAATGGAAAAGAAATACGATTAAATCATAATAAAATTAAATTGGAACAAAATTGTTCTTAACCAAATTACTATTAAAAATAACTCATTTTGACCTCTTTAAAACGAATTTTAGCCACTTTCTACTAGTTTAGACGGATAAAAATGCTACGTATTTAGCGAAAAAACTCAAAAAAACGCAAGATTATATGCGTAACTTACGTTACACTTTCAAGACAAAAATTGGCCTATTTTGTCTATCGTCCTCTCTATGCGACTTCTATTTGTAGAATACGCAATACCTTGGTAGTAAAGAAAACCCCATATTCCTCCCCCAATTACTCGAGTGCATTTCTCGGAGTGTATTTCTGGGCTGGGAGTCATACAGAAATATATTTGAAATGTCCGCTAATTTGTTTTCCTACCTCGAAATTTATTTGCGCCGCAATTTTCAACACTTTCCTGTTCAAACTTCTTTTCCACGTGTGTGCATAAATATACGAGATGCGACGCCCGGCTACGTCCGTATTATACGTGATTCGCGCGCGACGTAAGTTCATTGTGGGGAATACTCAAAGGGTTCGTGGTGTGAGATAAATACAAACAGCTATATGCATGGGCGTGCAACATTGAGTGATAAATACGGGTAAGACCGAGTTTTTCACGGCAATAGCGAGACACGAGCACCCCGCGCTCGCGCGCCTAACACACGCGCGTTCACGCGGGCCCGGCGAAATGCATACGAAACGTCAAATGCACTCGGCGCAGTCCATCAAAATGCAAATGTCTTTTATCCGCGGTGGTAATATATGCGTCCGTCGAGAATCAGTATTCAGGTTGAGCGTGGGCTGATCCGCCCCTGCGGTACCACGGTTCAAGCGGTGTGTGTGTGTGTGTGCATTCGCGCGCGCGCGCCATCGTGGATACCAGGAAGTTACAATGGGGTGAGGTAACCCTCGAAAGAGATCGCGGCGCCCCACAGCATTCCCCCGGCCAAATCTTTATTTTACGAGCGATCCGCCGGATCAATGGCGGCCTCGAAGACAGGCTTCGCGTCGCGATTTTCAGGGCGGAACGAAATCGATTTTAATTGATATCAGTAGCCCCGGCTGCGTCGACGCGAATACCCGCGCTTTATGTCACCTCGTAAAGCAGATAAGCGGGATCCAATCTTATTTAAGTGCCTTGCACTCCCGTAGGTTTGTAGAGCCCAGGATAAAATAGCTCCTCGCATTTACAGGACTGTTTCCTTAAGTGAACGTCTCGCTCAAGAATTCGTGATTCGGTTCGTAACGCGAGCGACGTAACGACGATCGAGAGCCCGATCGTGAAGGCCGAGACATGGAAACGTTCAGGGGATATATGAATATTCCCTATTGTCACGACTCGAGAACTGTTTGGCATGTTGTTTATTGGGCGAGCGCTTGCGTGAGCAACGGCAGTCGTTGCTATGAGTCTTATAAGCTGACGGAATCGCGTTTACTTTTCATTTTCGGGATTGATAGATACCTCCGTCGCGAAATCGAGATTATCTCTTTTTCCCGAGACTCCGAACGAGGAGGGAAAGCTCATTAATTCTTTGCTAACGCCAACTCGAGTCGCAGACGCTTGAAAAAACGAATGATTTTATCGCGCGTTAAATTCAATCCTCACTCGATGACGGATTCAAGAACGTCGTCGAAGGAAAAGAAATGAGAGGGAGAGAAAGAAAGAGAGAGGGGGAGAGTCAGGAGGAGGGAAGTCACAGTTCGCGTCGAGAATCGCATGTATTTTTCACTGGCGTCGACTGGTATGTGTGTGTATGCGTTTGCATGTAAAACGTATTTCTTTGTAATACTGTTTGTTATTAAATCCGTTGCGACGATTGTCTGGAGAGCCCTTTCGCTGAAGGACCTGCGACAAAAACGCGACGTTTCTTTTGTCACGAGTGCTTAAATAGAATAAGATGTTACAGTCTCTTTCAACTGCGCATCGTAGCGTTAAACTAAGAACTGAGACTCTCTCGGAAAAACGAGTTTTAAGATAATGTCTTAACGGCAGGGCGAATCTGCGAGAGCGTAATATTGCGTTCTTTGCGAGGACGATGAGAGCCGGTAATACCATTGCGCCAGTCTTTTATTACCGATGTCTGCATTCCTTTGCAATATTAATGAGCGCGAATTGTGCGCGACATTATAATGGCGTTTTCTATACGACGTAGAACGAACGCGTGTAAGCCTGGAACGTTTTGTGCCGTACATTTTGCCATTGTGAGCCTAACACGTTACGACTAATGCACGCGGCCTCCCTCTACGCGTGGCGCGTTCGTGGGGAACAATTATCGAAACTTGCAAACAAGTCACATTATACCGACGCCAATAATTGCGAAACACTTTCGTACAGGGATAGCTGTAATTGCATTTAATCAATCGGCTACTCACCGAGTCGAGTGTAACCATCATAACGATTACAACGTGGCGATATAGCCTATAGTTTGAATTACACAACGGGATTGATACGAGACCAATCCGTTTTTCGGGGGAGGAGAAGGGGGCAGAGCAGTGATTGAAAAAAGAGAGCGGTACAGGAGATGTTTCGCACAATTCGCATCGTGAAAAGTTTCAACGAAATACCCGATTTTGTTCGGTTGGACGGTCCGGAACGATCGCGCCGTTTAACCGAATTCCGGTAAAAAAAAATTGAGCTTCCACGCGCCATACCTCTCCACTACCAATCCTTTGCGGGAAAGAGGAGCTTTGGTCTCAAAAAAGTATCACGCATACCTCCCCCCCTTCGATCCCGTCTCCGTTCTGCCCTGCTTTATTCTAATTGTGCTTCTTGTCAATTCAGTTTCGCATTATCGAAATACGACTCGTCCCCGCGGAGCGTTGACCTTTCCAGTAAAGCGTCACTTGTGACGCCATTATTTGCACGAGTCTCGCGGCAACTGACGCTACCCCGGCTCATATTATCGATATTGGCAAAGTTTGTTTGCTAAACATACTGAATGAGATGTACAGCGCGACAACAGACTGTTATTCTGCCGCTGTAATTTCGGCGAAATTTTATTGATTGTCGGTTATCTCTGTTCCCCTTCTCCGTCCCGGCTGTCCTATTCATTATAGTTTTTACTCAATTATCGCCAACAGATTGCATTTTAAGTTAGATACAAGAGCGGAGGATTTTTGATTATCACCTTTGTGAGAATTTAATAAATATCAGGATGAAGAGAGGGAGGGAAAAGGAAAGAGAGAGAGAGAAAAAAGAGAAGAAATTTTGTACTGGGAGTATCCATGGGAACTTATACTGCTTGCATTTTTTTTTGTTGGGTTTGTTTGATGGCGCGTGGTTGTTGCAAGAAATAGCATGGCCGAGTGCCGACGTCTAAAATCAACGACTGTAACAGGAGCTGTGTTTCGCGTAAGAAGCAATTCATGCGCGTGCAAAATCACCGCGCGCGCGCGCGCACACGCTTACGGCAATGCGCTACGGAGGGTATTTATTCGACTACGACGACGGTCTGAACCGTAGGCACGTTATAAAAAATTTGCATGCGCGAGCTCGCGCGGAATCGCGAGGGAGGTCTGCATACTAATAAGTTGCCGCGAGGCGCCGTTACGCGAAGGGAGCGAAGAAATTAAGAATGGAAACGCTGGTCAAACTGAGGGAAGTAGCTATACTTCAAATACGGGAGCTGCAAATGATAGGAGAAAATGGAAGCAGGAAGGAGACGCGGGAGGGGGAGGGTGCGCGCGGGCCAGGTAAAGACAAGAGAGAGTAAAGCAAACATCTTTATTTCCTGAGAAATTCGCGCCGCTGGAACAAGGGCTCGCCGCGGCCCGACGCGCCGCCGCGGCTTTCTTTTTTCTACCTTGTTAAAGAATTTCTCATTGTGCCTTATTATGAGAGGTCGAGCGATTACGCGGGTATTGCTCGGAAAGAGAATTGTTCCG